ATTTGAATTACTGGCTCACAACTCAAAAAATCCATTTGAATTTCTGATTATGAGCGATTGTATAACTTATCACAATACTTATTACAGATGAGACATTAATTACGGACGATACATGTATTGCCAATCGTAAAAAACGAATATTTTCATGAACCTGAAGGATGATATGATTTGACTTTAATTGGTGCAAAACTTTTTCACAGAGTTATTGATGGAAGCTCATTTGCTAGTATTGGTACTGGTATAGCTTCTGATATAAGTATCAATACAAATTAAGTTGCTATCTCACAATAGGCATTGATTGTATCAGTTCTTTAGAAAGTTGCTCTGACAAAAATACCCAAAGAATGAGTTTAATATCAAATGAAATAAGCAAGAATTATCATCGAATACATCATATCAGCACCTACCTGATAACGCATGGACAGACTGCATTGACTAGTAGTCACTTTTCTTTTCAGCTTTCTGTTGTAAAACAAAAGGATAAATACAGCGACGAAAGCAGTAATATCATTTATCAGCAGTATGAGAGAAACAATATAATAACGATATAGCTCACTTTCTTGATTCAAAACACAAATAAGCACCCGAAGATTTGTTCCGAACTGTAATACATTTTTAATGGTGGCGCAAAATACCATTTGCGCCACCGTTAAAACTAAAGCTTTAAGGGTTTGTTAACAATCCAATGAAACAGACAGTTTACTCATCCATCTAATTCCCTGTTAATTTTCCAAAAGATAACAATAATATTAATCTTTTCCTATGTCCTATGTAAAACTTTACGTAAAGTTTATTTCCCAAAATGCTGCCTTATAAACATCTAAATAAATTAAGAAGTCTTTCTTCAAAACAAATAATTCTCAACAATGACACCTGTCCGATAGCATAGAAAATAAGCATCATTACTCCAGAACACCACTGGATAATTATCACTGTGATAATGAAGCAAGTGTCCCTTCGTTTTTCATAATAGTTCGATCTTAAAAATATTTATGAATGCTTATTTCTTGTAATATGATAAAACTTCCGTAGCATATTCGAGTACTTATAAAATTGTAGAGTAGCTTAGGTCAAAGGACAAAATTTTGTATCCTATTTCGAAAACTTTCAAAGTAAGCATAAAGGAATGTTTTTGAAATGATTATTAAAATTGATGGAGTTGAATGTTAAACTTTAAGAATTAAATTTATGTTCACTGTTTCATCTACTTTTTTATCTTTTGTTTAGTCGTAATGAAATTTTTTATCCATCGTTTTGAATGGGAAATTATTGGACAATGTATGCTACAAGGCATTCATCACCAAACAAAATACTACACTTACTTTATGGTAGCAAACAATCGTTCAATGGAAAAGGCTAATATAGATGTATGAATATTGAGAGAACCCAAAATTAGAGGTGCACGAATGATGAAGCAATCGTTATATGGTATCAAGAGGTCACAGGGTCGATCCAATGGTCTACTGGATAAATAGATTTCGTATGCTGTCATAAGTGTTCCACCAAGACTGACCAACAGTGCTGATACATTCATATTTTGTAAGAGTAGAATTGAATTTCTGTAAAATATTACTTCGTTCAATTTCTGACAAATAATAATGAACAGTATGGTGAAAGGACGGAGACAAATAATAATGAAAATTTAATCTGCGACATAGTTCATTTAATCAAATAAACTCATTAAATGTTTCTCAAAATGATTCGAATTAAGGTGTAAGATCAATGAACGATTCTGAGGCTTATTTTTTTTTTGCTTGGCTTATCTCAGCTATGTTCTTAACTAGGCTCATTTAATAAAACAATTTTCTCCCATTCTCGAAGTAAAATAGCAAAGATATTTTGAAAGTAAAAAGTAGGATTATTACCTGTGCAATGCAATTTGTTTCACTCCAAAAAAAGCAAATTTTAGTATTAAAAAGGTTGCTATTAAAATAATGCTTATCAAAATAAATGGTAAATAGCGAAATATCATCATTTTATGCCGTGAAAGAGCTTCCAAGCACAAATCATTCATTTTCAGACAATAATGTAAACCGGATCTTGAGCTAAAATGGAAATAGTAGTAGGGAATTGATAAATGATGTTTCAATCTGATAGCATTTAATTCGATTAATTCCAACCTAGTCAAGTTAGGGCCAAGTTAGATCGAAATTAATTGAATTAAATGTTAACTTGATCCGACCTGACTTGATTAAGCAACCATTCTTCTTCGCCGTATTGCTTTACTGCCTTGGGAAATTCTCGTGGGAAAGATGAATTACTAAAAATAAAGTTGCGCAACTGCAAACTCTAAATGTAGCATCACTCATTAACCGGATTACATAAACAAGGAACAATGGTTTCCATGGTGAATGTGACAAATTTCGAATCTACCGTATTTTTGTCTTCCAGAATTCCCGTGACAATTATTTTAGCAAAAAATTTGTTCTCTTAGAGTATGGATTCATTAGAGGTAAAGACAATATTCGATGAATATTAATGCTTTCCTATCTTTTTTTTCATTGTTTATAGTTCTCTTCATTACTTTAAGTATTTTTAAGTATCCTCAACCTTTAAATCATTAAGCCTGATAAAAGTGTAAACATTCCACTCTTTTTTTCATTTTCAATATATCCAATCAGTATCAGGTAGGTGCTGATATGATGTATTCGATGATAATTCTTGCTTATTTCATTTGATATTAAACTCATTCTTTGGGTATTTTTGTCAGAGCAACTTTCTAAAGAACTGATACAATCAATGCCTATTGTGAGATAGCAACTTAATTTGTATTGATACTTATATCAGAAGTTATACCAGTACCAATACTAGCAAATGAGCTTCCATCAATAATTCTGTGAAAAGTTTTGCACCAATTAAAGTCAAATCATATCATCCTTCAGGTTCATGAAAATATTCGTTTTTTACGATTGGCAATACATGTATCGTCCGTAATTAATGTCTCATCTGTAATAAGTATTGTGATAAGTTATACAATCGCTCATAATCAGAAATTCAAATGGATTTTTTTGAGTTGTGAGCCAGTAATTCAAAATGTATTTATGTCATTATCATCATATTAATTGAATTCGAAAACTGGTCAGTTTGGTGTTGTGAAATTGAATTTCAATTTCTTCATTTGT